AGGGTAATTAAATATTTTTAAATATGAGTTTCAACTCTTCTAGTCTTTGTGTACCATATCCTGGGAGCCCAACCCCTGTATCACCTCCCTCACTTCTCCCTCTTTCAGGTGAGGCTTCATCATGAAAACAGAGGACACTGGGGGCGAGGTCCCCTCAACTTTCATGCTACCTACTTGCTTTCACATTTGCCAGCATCCGCCTTTCTTCTATCTCAATGGCACTGGCTTTCCTCTTCCATATAAGCTCATCCCTTCACCTGAGCGCTTGAATCCCATGCCTTTCTACCTCCTCCTGAGTCTTTAAGGAGTCATCCTCCTGTGTTCTGTGTCTTCAGATGGGCATGTGCACACACTCTGCCTTATAGATACTTGCTTAAACTTCTCATTATTTAAAACAAAAACAGCAGGAACAAAACCTTTTCATTCCCTGACTCCCTCCAGTCTTCTAGCCACCACCTTCTTCTCTTCTTTAGAAACAAGTTTTTGAAGGAATCATCTGCCTGTACTGCCTCTACCTTACCCCTCGTTCACCGTTAACCCCACCCCACGTCATGCCATTGCAAGGACTTGCTGGTTGCCAAGTCCAGTGGCCATGCATCTGCCTCATCACACTAACCTGTTTATAGCATCACGGTGGTTTACAGTTTCCTCCTCCTCCTCACTCTCCCCTCTAGAAATCTGTGAGACGCTCATACTTAACTAGTTTTCCTCCTTCTCTGGAAGCTCCTCTTGGGCTTTTTACCCAGGCTCCCTCTCCCTTAAATTTTGATCGTTCTCCGAAACTCATCTTTCAATTATTTCCTTTATCTCCCTATTCATTCTCCTCAAGTAACTCAAAGGCCCTGTGTTTTGTGACTTGTAAATTTCTATATGCAGCCCAGCCCTCAGTCCTCTAGTCCCTCTCCCTGCTATACCTCTCCACAGGAAGCCCCACGGGCACTCCTGCATGCCCCAGAGTGAGCCATCAGCATCCTTCCTATTTCCTCTTCCCTCTCTCCTCTTCCATCCCCTCCATCTAAAATAATAATAACAATAATAATAAGAGACCATCTCTCTGGAGGCAGGAGTGCAGTGGTGCACAGTCATTGCTCACTATAGCCTCAAATCCCTGGGTTCAAGTGATTCTCCTGCTTCAGTCTCTGAGTAACAGGGAGTACAGGTAGATGCCACCACACCCAGCTAATAAATTAACAAAAAATTGAGCCTCCTGCCTCAGCCTCCCAAGTAGCTTGGCTTATAGGCACAAGCAAACTAGAGGGCTTCTGTGGAACCCTTGAAGTTTTCAGTGGACACTGTCTCACACCTTATCTCCTTGACAAAGGAAAAAGCGTCCTTTTTTATGTGGAGCCTGTGGAATTTATCACTTTCTATTTCTCTTAAGTGGGAAAAGCTTCTCGGCATCAACATTTTTAGCGAGGCATGGACAGATACCGTTGGGTGATGAAACCACTGAAGAACCACTCTTAGTGTCACATGGTGCTGGTCTGAGGTCACAGTTCATTGGTGTCCATTGGCTTCTCAAGGCCAACACCTAGTCCTAGGGCTAATTTCTACTACTGTGAGGGATTCTGCCAACTCCCTTCACTAGGTAGTGGGAACGAGCAGTAGGAAGATGACAGTTTGTTCTTCTCTTCTTTCTCCTAATGTATTTTGGACCCATTGGGGTCTAAAATGATACATACCTAAAATACCTCTTGGTATCTCAAGCGAAAGAGACTTTATTTTTTTATCAAGACTGGGCTTTTGCTATATGATTAAGCAGTGGCATTTGTTGAGTCCCTGAAGTCATATGTAACTGGGTTTAAACCCTTACTCCCAGACTTAGTGACTGTGTGATTTGGGCCAGCCCTGAAGGCTTTAGAGCACTAGGAAGGATTTCTAATGACTGGATGGAACAAGATGATAAATGAGGAATCCAAGTCAGTGAGGCAACCTACCTTCAAGGAACTTGTTGAAGATGCAGCAGCCTAGTTTCTGGGGACTTTGGTGTCCAAAATTAGAGAAAGACTAGCAGCAAGAATCCTGAACTACTAACATGCTGAGCCATTAACTCTCAGGATCCCTGCTTACCTGCACTGAGAAAAAGGTTGATTCAAATTTAGAAGGCCAAGGCAGGTGGATCACTTGAGGGCAGGAGTTTGAGACCAGCCTGGCTGACATGGTGAAATCCTGTCTCTACCAAAAAAATACAAAAAAAATTAGCTGGTCATGGTGGCATGTGCCTGTAGTCCCAGCCTCCTACTCGAGAGGTTGAGGTAGGAGAATCACTGGAACCTGGGAGGCAGAGGTTGCAGTGAGCCAAGATCATGCCACTGCACTTTAGCCTGGGCAACAGAGCAAGACTCCATCTCAAAATAAATAAATAAAATAAAAACACTTTAGAGCATTGCTGAACTTCAAGGTTTAGTGGTTACATGGGACCTATTAATAAGGATTAGAGAGGTATGGTGATACGGTTTGGCTGTGTCCCCACCCAGATTTCATCTTGAATTCCCACATGTTATAGGAAGGACCTGGTGGAAGGTAATTGAATCATGGGGGCAAGTCTTTCTCATGCTGTTCTCATGATAGTGAATAAGTCTCATGAAATCTAGGTGTTAAAAAGAGGAGTTCCCCTGCACAAGCTCCCTCTCTCTTTACCTGTTGCCATCCATGTAAGACATGACTTGCTGCTCCTTCTGCCATGATTGTGAGACCTCCCAGCCATGTGGAACATAAGTTCATTAAACCTTTTTCTTTTATAAATTGCCCACTCTCAGGTATATCTTTATTAGCAGTGTGAGAACAAACTAATGCATATGGGACAAGGACCCAAACAAATGGTCATATACTGGCTTCTGCTGTTGATGTCTTGATTTTGCATCTGCTTCATCTCCTTAGCCAAAGCTGTGTGACTGCTCCCTTTCGTTCCTTTATAGTTTCCAGGTGGGCAAGGTCCGTTTCTTTTTGGCCTGTATTTAATCCTGTGATTTCAGGTCACAGCCACTGCCCTGATGGCTCCCTTCCTTACTACCCTGGCCAGGGTTCAACAGGCTGTGACCATGGTAAATCTCAGGCCAGGCTCTGCCATGATTATTGACTTAGTACCTCACTGGGGAGCTCAGGGCTGGCTGTCTCATCAGCACCAGTAGTTCCTGCCCATTCCCGTCTCCGTCATCATTTACCATCCTTCCTTTTAGAGATCTCTGAAAGCTTGTCTCCCTACTCTCTCTACTCTTCATCAGTTTATTAATAATGAATGATGATAATAAGACTTAACATTTTTGAGCTCTTATTGTGGGCCAGGTGTGTTATCTCATTTTTAATCTCACAAAACCCCTGTGAATAAGTTCTATTGTAATCTGCCTGTTACAGATGAGGAAACTGAGTGACTTAGAAATTTACCTGCGATCTGAAAGCTAAAACCAGTGATATTTAGTTTAAAACTGGATTAGAACCCAGGCTTGTCTTATACATTCCAGCCTCTTTCCCCCTCGAGAGAGAGTTGAATTTTTCTCACCTTTCCTGGCCTATTTGGCAACTCAATCATTAGTGCACCTGACTGTAGGCTCCTTCAATTCAGTACATCTTTGACTGAATGTGGGAAAAAAAAAATTGTGTATCTGTTTCCCTTGCTTCACACAAGAACATTTTCCTATCACCCTAATCTCTCTTTAGGGAGTTAAAACGTGTGTGTGTGTGTGTGTGTGTGTGTGTGTGTGTGTGTGTGTTTAATCATCATCTGTTTTGGGAAGCTCTTCAGTGCCTGCTATATTTTGAAAGTTATTTTAGATTAAGATGAGGTTAATCCAGCCTCTGATTAATCTTCTCACTTTCTAGATGAGCAAAGGCTTAGGAGGGAGAAGTAACTTACATAAGGTCAGACAGCAAGTTAGTAACAAAGTCAGGGCAAGAGCCCAGGTCTCCTGACACCTGGTCTGGTATTATTCTGATGTCCTAATACATTAAATTTTATTGGTTTCAGGGGAATTATTTTTCATTTATATTACAAAAACTAATTTATTTTTTCACAGAAAAAGGATAGGTGTGTTTTTAGCTACAAGGCCAAGTACAATGAGTTGGAATAATTTACAGCTATTATGTTTACCATATCCAAATGGATTCCTGGATCCCATAAAAGTGTTTCTAAACTGCAGAAAAATCCCCCTACAGTCTTACAGTTCAAGAATTTTCTGCATGAAATGCCTGATAGAGTACCTGAATTTTTTTTGCCAAAAATAAAGCACAGCAACTCTCTCCTGACTCTGACCTTCTATAGTAGTGTAAGCCTCCTTACTAAATTCATTCCTCAGCATTGCAGTCTGAAGGACACCCACATTTTCCCTTTGTCTTTGTCCATTCTTTGTGTGGTAAGGGCAGGATGCTTGAAAGTTGAAGTCATTGACTTGCAAAATGGGAAATTCTAGAGAGCATTTTGTTCTCTAGACCATGTAGCTTAGAGCAGTGTTCACACTGAGGTTGCTGCTGATGTTTATGCAGTTCTTACCAAGAAATTAATAGTATCATTTATCAAGCAACTGGACATGACAGAGGACTTCAAAATCTCTGGAAAATGTTTTAGCATATATCCAAAGCCCCTTGGGAAATGGAAAGGAATTGAGGGCTTCCATTTTTATATACGGCTAGAGACCAAGAAAGACCAAGGTTTTACATTAATAAAGCATAAAAAGACCATATGTTTTGCATTAATAAAGTATAAAATGTTAACATGTAGGAAGTCTAGGTGAAGGTTATGTGAGAATTCTTTATACTAATTTTGCAACATTTTAATGCAAGCCTGAAATTATGTCAAAATAAGTAAAATTTAAAAAAGGTTAAGCAGAGAATAACAATGATTAGTCAGAGAAATAAGCAATAAAATCTTCTCAGTATTGACTTGGTTGCTTTTCAATCTCTGAAGATACAGCAGTCTCCGCTTGCAAATCCACAAGTCACATCGGTGAGGAGACTCAGCTGAGAATTTGGCTAACGTTGCGGGGGTCCTTCCTGTGTCTCCCCAGGCGCAGTGAGCCTGCAGGCCGACCTCACTCATGGCACACAACTAAGTTTGGGGAGAACCAACCTGATGCCAGCATGATGCAGATATCTCAGGGCATGATTGGCCCTCCTTGGCACCAAAGCTACCATTCCAGGTAAGTGGCCATAGCTGAGACTGAAGGGTTTCTTTCTTTCTAATGTCATTTTCCCAGAAAAGAACGTTTTCTTCTGTTTTGAGAACATTTTTTCATATACTCACACCAAATATTAAATCTCTGTCTACTGCTTTCCTCATCTTACAGTGCCTAACGTGTATATGGGTTATCTTCATATGCTGGGCTAGAGCAACTTGAAGACCAGAGTTATTTGAAGCACTGGATGGCCATTTGAGATATTTATGGTGTCCATCAAGCCTCAGACACTTCACCACTGATAGCACTATATTAGAAAAATGGAGATTTTTCTTCCTCAGTGCTTAAGTGTGCTTTCTGCTTTAGTCAAAACTGTATCCGTTTTTATTCATGTGTTTGAACTCCCCACTTCATTTTGCTCTTTCAATTAAGGTAATTTGTCCATCTTAGCTCCAACGACACAACTGATGTACTGAGGACTGCTCAGTGTATACATTATCTCATGTGGTGGCTCAGAGAATTCTTTAAGACAGAATGGAGTCTTAACTCCATTTTGCAGAATAGGAAATTGAAGCCTGGGGCTTGGCACAGTGGCTCATGCCTGTAACCCCAGCGGGGAGGGTGGATCACCTGAGGTCAGGAGTTCGAGGCCAACCTGGCCAACATAGTGAAACCCCATGTCTACTAAAAATATAAAAATTAGCTGGCCTAGTGGCATGCGCCTGTAATCCCAGCTACTTGGTAGACAGGCAGGAGAACTGCTTGAACCCAGGAGGCGGAGACTGCAGTGAACTCAGATCGAGCCATTGCACTTCAGCCTGTGTGACAGAGTAAGACTCCATCTCAAAAAAAAAAAAAAAGGAAATTTAAGTTTGGAAAGATTAGTTTGTCCAAGCTCAAACAACTGATTATTACCCAAGTCAAGACAAATCCAAGCCAGGTTTCATAGCTGCTGCATGTAATAAGTAGGTTATACTTCCTCTGCTTTTCTAGCCACTGTTGTATGGGTCAAGGTTTGGTCAGGAAGAAGGAGATCCCCTACAAGTGGTTTAGGAGCAAGATTAGAGAAGGAGGGGGGGGGTACAGCCTGACTATCACCACATATTAGAGAGAGAATTAAGCCAGGACTCCCCTCCACTTCAGCCCTGGAACCCATACAAACTGGAATTGATCTTCTGGTCCCAGGGAGTCAGACTCCATAGCTTATCACTTTTGGGAAATGCTTAGATAGAGCCAATAGTAGCAAGGTCAGGAAAATGAGGGTCACTTAGTCCTTACATACAAAGGAGATGCAAGTGTTGGTGTGTGTGCCATGTGCATTGGGGGGAAGAGGGGAGGCTGGAAGCTTCTGGAAGAACTTATTTAGTGAACAGATGGTGACTATGCATTTGGCAAGGCCAGAACTCAATCACAGCCCTTAATGCTCATGTCTGGTCAAGTTATGGGCCAAATCCTAGATCTCTCACTGATGAACAGTAGCTCATGGAATTGAACAGGACAAATCTCTCTCAGTATATTAGGGTAGGCTTCGGGCCACAGGAGGAGATAATGTCCTGGTTCCCTCCTGGTTGCAGATGCTCCTCTCCCTTCCCTGCGTCCCTCCCAATAATCCTGAGAGAAATTATTCTCACCATCTGGGCTATCTGTTCTCAGAGAACAGGTTTCCTAGCAGTGTCCCCTGACCCTTGACAAAGGCACACTGCTTTTGCTTTACAGATAGGGAGCTGTTCAGGGCTTTTAGAAGGTAAGGTATGCGGAGCCTAACAATGAAGGAAGAATGGCACAGTGGTAAGGGACTGGGCATTTAAGTCAGACCTAGGTTTAAATCTCCCGTTGTCCTACAGAGTAAACTTGAACAAATCATTTAACTTTTGATCTTGGCTTTCTTTTCTGTAAATAACGAAGTACCTATGTCATCGGATTGTTGTGAGGATTATGTAAAATAGCATATGTGCAATTCTTAGTACATAGTAAGCTCTCAGTGAATGATGACTGATTATAATAATTAAGCTGAAGACTTCAGAACACCATGAAACCTGGTACTGAACTGGAGGGTGAATGGCCAGCACACATTTATAAATGTAGGTGTATATGTATTAACGGAGTATCCTCAAACAGTGGGGTCCTTTGAGCGTCCTTATTCCTAATCTTACAAAGCCCTAAATCCATAACCATACTGTGACTTAAAAAATGTGCTGGCCCTTCAGCAGAAGTAAGTACTGCAATGACTGCTTACAGTAACTGTGGTGTGAGCTCCAACAGGCCTCAGGGTAATGGAACTGTCAGCACCAGAAGTACAATATTTTCAAGGCTGTGCTTCCGCACCTCCTCCTTCCTCCTCTGCATCCCAGTCTCCAGAGGGGCTTAGGCAGGTGGATCTGCCTTTGTGCTGTGTCTACCACTCTGTCTGATTCAAGCCTCAAAATAGTTCCTCCTGACACAAGGTATGCACAAAAGCACTGCATGGGGACAAAAGGAGAAAGGAAAGTTCAAACAACCCAAAACGTTACAGACATGTACGTTCTCTTCTGCCGCAGCACAAACCACCCTGTGCTCTGTTCATTCCATGCCTGAGGCTGGCAGCTCTGGCAGAGGTCTTGACCCCCATGCTGAGTTCTGCCTGTGGGGTTTGATCTTGGCAGCTGCAGGTGGAGAGGCGCTCCAGGTGTGTTTCTAAGGAGCACAGTGGCATCTAGTGGTCCAGTGTGCCACATCAGTTGGCTGGTATCTCTAACAGCTTTAGTATTTAAGTTCCAGAAACCAGTCTCAGGCCTAAATTTATGGATCTATTTCTTGTTAAGAAGCAGGTGTATGACGGGATGAGAGGATGAGGGAAGGATGGGAGTGAGGTGAGACAGAGAGAGAAAGAGAAGTATGGAGAGACTGAAGATGTGTAATTTAACTGTGAGCTAGGTTGTATTTGGAATTTCGCTGAAATTGTATATCAACTGCTTTCCATCAGACCCTTGACACTCTATTTTTGCTGCCCTATGGAAATCTCACACAATGGTTCTGAAGTACTAAAGTACTTTGGAAGAGATCCTGAATAGTTATGTAGTCTACCCCCCGACAAGCGGCTGGAATAGCATTATCAAATCAGTGATTCATACATTCAACAAATCTGTATGAACACCTACTATGTCTCAGATGCTTTCTACATATTGGGAATACATGGTGAGCAAGACGTAAAAAACCCCCTACGCCACAATATTTGTTTCCCAAAGTTGTTCCGTGGAATAACAATCCACTAGATACTCCTTAGAAAAAAAGTTTCTGGGATCAAGTAAATTTAGAAAACATCTATTAGTATTATATATTTCTCTTTTCGAACAACACATGAAAAATGATTTTGGAGAACAATAGTTTTTAAAAGACTCAGAAATCTTGTAGTAAATAAAATTGTATGGCTTATTTAGCTCAATATATTCCAAACACATTTAATTGTTTAAGGAATTGGTGTTCTGTGAGCATGCTTCAGGAAATATTTTCATACACTTATTTTGTGTTCTATGTTTTAAATATTTTAAAAACACTTTTTACTTTTTTGAGAGGGGTCTCACTGTGTTGCCCAGACTGGGGTACAGTGATGGAGTCAAGGCTCACTATAGCTTTTACCTTCTGGGTTTAGGTGATTCTCCTGCCTCAGCCTCCCAAAGTGCTGGGATTACAGGTGTGAGCCACCATACCTGGTAGATACCTGTGTTTAAAATAGTTTTAAACACACAAAATAAAATGATATTATAAGAATACAAGTATCTACCACAAAATTAAAAAACATGTATGTGCATTTCAGTTCTTTAACTATTATAGATCCAGTTGAAGTCTCTTTCACATAACCAAAGGGATATGATTATCATGTCAAATAGTGGTAAGTGCTGTGAATAAAATAAAGCAGGGTAACAGGCACAAAGGAGCGAAGAGATGCTCTTTAATCTAGGAGGTCCTCTGAATGAAAGGAGGGAGTAAGCCAGGTGAAGAGCATTCTGGGTGATGGGAGCTAGCAGCAAGTAAAAGGACTCTCAGACCCTGAAATAGGAATAAATTTCCTGGTTTTGAGTTTCAGCAGGGAGACTATTATGCAGAAGTACAGGAAGCAGCAAGGAGAGCGATAGAAAATGAGGCTGAAGTAGCCAGACTATGGTAAGAACTTTGATCACTCAAGATGCACCCCTCTTGACAGTAAGGCTGTCTTTATATGAGTTGGAATTGTTGCAGGATTGAAAAACCTTCATTCCAAGTTTTCTTACCCATTGTTAAAAGTGCCATTTTAGAAGCATCAATGGCAAAGGTAATAAAAATGAATATTTCCAGAAAGCAGTGGAAGAACTTGTCCTAGAGAGTGATACCAATGCCTATATTCCCCAGGCAGCTTGGGAATGGTAATTCCGAAGGGACAGAACCCTCTCTGGGAGAGCACCTGACAGAGGCCTCCCATGATCTTTCCACCTTAGGTTTGCTACAGGAAGGAACGCACTGTACCCTTGCACTGGTCTGGTTAGAGATATGTGTGACAGAGCTTTCATATTTATAGACACCATCTATATTTTAAGATATGTTACTGATGGCATTTTTTCCACTCAATAGTGTTTGTTAACCATCAGTTTGTTTATTTTGATTTATGTGTGTGTTCCTAAGTTAGATTTGAATTATCCTTTCAATGAAAGATGGCTAAAATTCTCAGCAGTTGGAAGGAGGATTGCCTAATGTTTACTACCTTCATAGAAATTGTGAACGAAATGGCCCTTGTGGATTTCCATTTTCCCTGGAAGTATTAGCTCTAAAAAGGAAGCAGAGTGGGTCATACAGGATTATCTGCAATGAGGCTGTCTAGTGTTTTTTTTAGTATGAACTCTTTTTTTTGAGACGGAGTTTCGCTCGTTACTCAGGCTGGAGTGCAATGGCACGATCTCGGCTCACCGCAACCTCCGCCTCCTGGGTTCAGGCAATTCTCCTGCCTCAGCCTCCTGAGTAGCTGGGATTACAGGCATGTGCCACCATGCCCAGCTAATTTTTTGTATATTTTAGTAGAGACGGGGTTTCACCATGTTAACCAGGATGGTCCTGAACTCTTGACCTCGTGATCCACCCGTCTTGGCCTCCCAAAGTGCTGGGATTACAGAGAAAAATTATATTCTTGAGGAGAGTTGCAGAAGGTGTAGTCTTCTTTTCCTTAAATTCCAGCACAAGTTTTAACTCTGAATATTGTTCTTCTAGTCTCAGCATATTCTCTGGAAGCATTCCAGCCATAAAGTATTATCATATAGTTGGCCAATAAGACACTACATTTATTTACATGTGACCTAGAAATATAAGAATACATCATGAATTTTAATAGTGCTGAAATGCCTAGTCATTTAAAAATGGAAAATCTTGAGCAAGAACTACTAGTGATTTACCCTTTAGAGAACAGTGAGTCACAAACATTTGAACCACTTATGCCTTCCTGTACATCGTGTGTGTGCGTGTGTGTGTGCGTGTGTGTGCGTGCGTGTGTGCGTGCGTGTGTGTGCGTGTGTGTGTGCGTGCGTGTGTGTAGAGACTTATTTTTTAGAGCAGTTTTAGTTTCACAGTGAAATTGAACAGAAAGTCCAGAGATTTCTCATATAGTCCCCATCCCTATACATGCATAGCCTCCTCCATCATCAGCAGCCCCCCCCAGAGTAGTACATTTGTTACAACTGATAAACCTACATCTTAATCACCCAAAGTCCATAGTTTATATTAGGGTTCACTGTTGGAATCGTGCATTGTGTAGGTTTGGAAAAATGTCTAATGACAGGTATTCACCATTATAGTATTGTACGGAATAGTTTCACTGCCCTGGAAATTCTCTGTGCTCCACCTATTCCTCCTTGCATCATCCTAAGACCTAAGATCTGGCAACCCCTATCTTTTTTTTTTTGAGATGAAGTTTCATGCTTTGTTGTCCAGGCTGGAGTGCAGTGGTGTGATCTTCACTGACTGCAACCTCCACTTACCGGGTTCAAGCAATTCTCCTATCTCAGCCTCCAGAGTAACTGGGATTACAGGCGTCCACCACCACGTCTGGCTAATTTTTGCCTTTTTAGTAGAGACAGGATTTCACCATGTTGGCCAGGCTGGTCTCAAACTCCTAACTTCATGTGATCTGCCTGTCTCGGCCTCCCAAAGTGCTGGGATTACAGGGGTGAGCCACCATGCCCAGCCACCATTGATCTTTTTATTGTCTCCATTGTTTTCCTTTTTCCAGAATGTCAGCGATGTAATTGGAATCATGTGGTTTGTAGCCTTTTCAGACTGGTTTCTTTCACCTAGTAAAATGCCTTTTAGTTTCCTTCATATTTTTACATGGCTTGACAACTTTTTTTTTTAGTAATGAATAATATTCCATTGTGTAGATACAACACAGTTCACTCACCTGCAGAACAGCCTTCTTCCTTCCATGTTATGGCAATTATGAATAAAACTGCTGTAAACATCCATGTGTGGGTTTTTATGTGGACATGAGTTTTCAGCTCCTTTGGATAAATGCCAAGGAATGTGACCACTGGTTCATATGGTAAGAGTATGTTTAATTTAGTAAGAAACTGCCAAACTGTCTTTTAAAAGTGGCTGTGCCGTTTTGCATTACCACCTGCAATGAATGAGAGTTTCTTCTGCTCCACATCCTCACCAGCATTTGGTGTTGTCAGTGTTCTGGATTTTGGCCATTCTAATAGATGTGCAGTGGTATCCTGTTTTTTGTTTGTTTGTTTTTCGTTTGTTTTTGGGTTTTGCCTATGGCACAGCCCTCAGGAGGTCCTGAGACCATGTTCCCCGGTATCTTATTGTTTTACTTTGTAATTTTCTAGTGACTTATGATGACAGACTTTTCATTTGCTTATTTGCCATCTGTATATCTTCTTAGGATGTATTTGGCCAGTTTTAAAATCAGGTTGCTTTCTTATTGTTGAGTGTTAAGTGGTTTTTAAAAATATATATATTTTGAATTTATAAGTAATTTTCTTTTGAGACAACTTTCTGGGCTGTACAATGATTGATAGTCTTTTCCCTCTTTTCTAGACAGGGTCTGAAAACCATCTTGAGGAGCTTGTAAATGAGAAGGTCTTGCCCTCCTAAATGTATGAGGAGGCTTTGCTTAGGTTTTTGGAAGTCATCCACAGGTGGTGGAATCCCAGCACCCAAGAGCCCCTGCGATTACGCCTTCTTGTAAAGCTTTTCTCTCCTTCCCTCTTTCCCTTCTCTCTGCTTCTCATGAGCTTTTTTCTGACTCTAATTTCTGTCATTTCAGCTTTGTGTTTAGCTTTCTCACCACAAACAAATTGTTTCTAGTACAGTTGAGATTCCAGGAAGACTGCCAGGGTGTATCCTTCAATTCCATAAAAAGGAAAGATATTAACTAAAAACATACACATGTGCACACAAAGTCTCCTTCACGTGCCTGTTCTCTTACTAAGCTCTTCTCATCTTTCCACAAACAACTGCAGTGGACACACAATTTCAGTCTCAATCACTCTTCCACCTCTGTCATTTCTTGGCGCATGCAAAATGTCATTTCCAGCATGCAGCAAATCACATCAAAAATACTGCCTGCGCCCAAAGGCCACGTGGCTTCCTCTGAGCTCCTTGTTCCTCTCCTTGCTAGCCTGGGTGATTAATTGGAGGCACATAGGTTAGAGTGTTGGGCAGTTACTCCTAGCGATGACACACAAGGAGGCTGAGCAAGGCCCAAATATGGCCCTCTTTCTCCTCCCTTCCAAAGACCAAGCCTCTTGCACAAGAGAACATTTATAAGCTGGGTCCTGTGCCTGTAAATCTAAATGATAACAGCTTGGAGATGCTGACTGCTTTGTCTCCCTTTCTTCCAGCTCCTCTACCAGTGATCTCTCCAACTATGACCATGCCTATCTAAGGCGGAGCACTGACCAGTGCAGCTCCCAGGGGAGCATGGAGAGCCTGGAGCCCAGTGGGGCATACCCACCCTGCCATCTTTCTCCTGCCAAGTCCACCGGCAGCATTGACCAGCTCAGCCACTTCCATAACAAGAGAGACTCGGCTTACAGCTCTTTCTCCACCAGTTCTAGCATTCTAGAGTATCCACCCCCTGGCATCTCTGGCCGGGAGCGTTCAGGCTCCATGGACACAACTTCTGCTCGAGGTGGCCTCCTCGAAGGGATGAGGCAGGCAGATATTCGCTATGTGAAGACAGTCTATGACACCCGGAGGGGAGTCTCAGCAGAGTATGAGGTGAACTCTTCAGCCCTGCTGCTTCAAGGTAGGGAGGCCCGAGCCTCAGCAGATAGTCAGGGCTATGATAAATGGTCTAATATTCCTCGGGGTAAGGGAGTGCCACCCCCATCCTGGAGCCAGCAGTGCCCCAGTTCCTTGGAGACTGCCACTGACAACCTTCCTCCTAAAGTGGGTGCACCCCTGCCTCCAGCTCGGAGCGATAGTTATGCAGCGTTTAGGCACCGTGAGCGGCCCAGCTCCTGGTCTAGCCTTGATCAGAAACGGCTCTGTCGGCTTCAGGCAAACTCTTTAGGCTCCCTGAAGTCTCCATTCACAGAGGAGCAGCTGCACACTGTGCTGGAGAAGAGTCCAGAGAACAGCCCCCCAGTGAAGCCCAAGCATAGTTATACCCAGAAGGCCCAACCTGGCCAACCTCTGCTGCCGACCAGCATCTACCCAGTACCTTCCCTGGAGCCACACTTTGCCCAGGTGCCCCAGCCTTCTGTGAGTAGCAATGGGACTCTCTACCCTGCACTGGCCAAGGAGAGTGGATACATAGCTGCTCAGGGAGCGTGCAACAAGATGGCTACCATTGATGAGAATGGGAACCAGAATGGATCTAGCAGGCCTGCCTTTGCCTTCTGCCAGCCCTTAGAACATGACTTGTTGTCTCCGGTAGAGAAGAAACCGGAAGCTACAGCCAAGTATGTCCCCTCTAAAGTCCATTTTTCTTCAGTGCCTGAAAATGAGGAGGATGCCTCCCTGAAGAGACATTTCACACCTCCCCAAGGCAACAGCCCACATCCCAATGAGAGAAAGAGCACCCACAGCAACAAACCATCTTCTCATCCCCACAGCCTCAAATGCCCTCAGGTCCAGGCCTGGCAAGCGGGTGAAGACAAGAGACCTTCCAGGCCCTCAGAGCCCTGGGAGGGCGATTTCCAGGAAGACCACAATGCCAACCTCTGGAGGAGGCTGGAGAGAGAAGGCCTAGGTCAGAGTCTATCAGGCAACTTTGGCAAGACCAAGTCAGCCTTCTCATCTCTCCAGAACATACCTGAGAGTCTGAAAAGACACAGCAGCCTGGAGCTAGGCCGGGGAGCCCAGGAGAGTTACTCCGGGGGCAGGTCCACCTGTGCAGTCAACACCAAGGCGGAAGACCCTGGGAGGAAAGCTGCTCCTGACTCCGGGAGCCATCTGGACGGGCATGTTTCCTACCCACGGCCCGAGGGGAGAACTGGTGTCTCGGCATCTTTCCGCAGCGCAGACCCAAGGCCCGAAGAACCGCCCTCCCCCTCGCACCCGCACACATCCAGTCTTGGACGGAGGGGGCCCGGCCCAGGCAGCACCTCGGCTCTTCAAGGCTTTCAGTACGGGAAGCCCCACTGCTCGGTGCTGGAGAAGGTCTCCAAATTCGAGCAGCGAGAGCAAGGGAGCCATAGACCGAGTGTGGGCGGCCCCGGTTTTGGTCATAACTATAGGCCCCGCAGGACCGTCTCAACTTCCAGTACTTCTGGGAATGACTTTGAGGAGACAAAAACCCACATGCGTTTCTCTGAGTCAGCGGAAGCCCTAGGCAATGGGGAGCAGCACTTCAAAAACAGGGAGCCGAAGCTGGAGGAGGCCTGCCGGCAGCCCTGCGGTCAGCAGCTGAGCGGAGGAGCCGTGGACAGCGGCCGTGGCCCGCAGAGGCCGGACGCTCGTCTCCTCCGCAGCCAGAGCACCTTCCAGCTCTCCAGCGAGCCAGAGAGGGAGGCCGAGTGGCAGGACAGGCCCGGCTCGCCCGAGTCGCCCCTGTTGGATGCCCCTTTCAGCCGCGCCTACCGGAACAGCATCAAGGACGCACAGTCCCGCGTTTTGGGGGCCACGTCCTTTCGACGCCGGGACCTGGAACTAGGGGCGTCTACGGCATCGAGGCCCTGGCGGCCACGGCCCTCCTCGGCCCACGTGGGGCTGCGGAGCCCTGAGGCACCAGCCTCCGCCTCCCCGCACACGCCCCGGGAGCGGCACAGCGTGACCCCTGCAGAGGGCGACCTGGCCAGGCCGGCGCCCCCTGCCGCCCGGAGAGGGGCTCGCAGGCGCCTGACCCCCGAGCAGAAGAAGCGCTCCTACTCAGAGCCCGAGAAGATGAACGAGGTGGGGGTCGCGGAGGAGGCTGATCCGGCACCCCTGGGCCCTCAGAGGAAGGGGATGCGTTTCCCGGAGAGCAGCGTAGCAGACCGGCGCCGCCTCTTTGAGCGCGATGGCAAGGCCTGCTCCACGCTCAGCCTGTCGGGGCCCGAGCTGAAGCAGTTCCAGCAGAGCGCCCTGGCCGACTACATCCAGCGCAAGACGGGCAAGTGGCCGGGCTCCGCCGTGGGCTGTGGCCTCCTGGAGCCTGGGCCACTGCGTGAGCGCGCCCAGAGCACATACCTCCAGCCCGGCCCCGCGGCACCGGAAGGCCCTGGCCTCGCCTCGGCCTCCAGCCTGAGCTCGCTGCGGGAACCCAGCCTGCAGCCCCGCAGGGAGGCCACGCTCCTGCAGGCCACTGTTGCAGAAACCCTGCAGGCTCCTCGAGATCGCAGCAGCTCCTTCGCAGGTGGCCGCCGCCTCGGGGAACGGCGACGTGGGGACCTCCAGGTCCCAAGGGAGCTGCTCAGTGGAGCAAACGGTGGAACAAGGGACACCCAGAGGGTGGATGAGACCTCCAGGGAGCCACCCTCCTGGGGGGCCAGGGCCGGGAAGTCCATGTCGGCAGAGGACCTGCTGGAACGCTCAGATGTCCTCGCCGTCCCTGTCCACGTGAGGTCCAGGTCATCTCCCGCCACTGCAGACAAGTACCAGGTACGTGCAACCAGCAAGTCCTGGCCTCGGACTGTTCCTCCCTCCCTCCCTGGAAGCTTTAGTGGGGCTTCCAAACCCCTCACCCTCTCAGCCCCTCTCCCAGTTCAGTTTTCCTTGTAAATACAGAAAAGTAGCACTTGTTTTCATGAGTTGAGTTTTTCAGTGTCCCTACCTGGCTTCCTTACAAAGATACAGATATATAGATTATCTATATTGTTATATAGATTTATATATATCTCCATTTTAGGAAGTCACCACCTTTCAATGCAAAAATGCAAGATTAGGAAAAATTAGGATTATCTTTTTTTTTTGTTTTTTTATGGATTAGAGTCTGGGTCTAAGTATTTTAAGGGTTTTAGCTTTGTACCCTTTCTGTTTCTGTTGGATTTTGCATCTACAAAATAGCTAGAATTATTGACATTGATAATCATTGGTTATTGAATTCCTGGCCCTCAGCTAAGTGTGTGGCAGGTCCTGAGCTACGTGTAATCTACATTTATTATTTCATTTAATCCTCAAGATAATCCTGTGCAGTAGAGTATTTTATACATGTCAGACACCTGTCTCTCGGACTCCTTTCTGAGCTCTTTCTGTGCATTATCCTGGTGAGGAGGGAAAATCAGAAACTCAAAATCTCACATAAAAGGATTTTCTAGTAAAGGCACTAAACGCTGCAAGGATTATAAAATACTTTCCGCTGAAAACTTCAAGCAGTGCTAGGAATAGAAGCTGAGCATTCTGACTCCTAGGATCCTATTAATTTCCTTAATTCTTAGCCTATCCTCAGGCTTCACTTCCACTGGAGATCAGTGGCCTGCCTCATGCTTCCCTTCCCACCAAAGAAAATAATAGGAATCTCATACCTGTTAGCACAGGGGAGGAAGAACTCTGCTCTACTGCCCCTCTTAAATTCTGCTGTTTTCCCTTTCAGAGAAGTCAGCCATTCAGCAAGCATCTATAGAGCATGTGTTGTATGAAAAATGCTGTGTTATAGCAGCCGAGGATACACGAAGGAAAAAAAATAAGCCTCTTGCCTTTCTGGGGTTCACAATTAAGGAATATGACCTTATATATAAACAACTCTACTATGACTAGTGAGTGCTTTGGGAATGGTGATCAGTAATATGCTATGGAGAGGAAAGTAATTAATTCTGAGGTGATTGGAGTAGCAACTGCTTCTCCTGAAGGGAAATGGGATTTTGGGCCAGGATGTAAAAGATGGGCATGATGACAAGACATTAGGGGAGAGGGGATGCATTGATTGAAAACCAGTTCAGACAAAGAAAGATTCAGCAGTTACTGACTGAGAAGTTTGCTGCATTCTTTCTAATGCACACACACACAGACCCACATCCTTCTGAGAGAAAGTCCCCTTCCAGGTGTTTTCTGTTTAGAATTGTACAGAAATATTTTCTCCTAGTATAAACCCTCCAGAAATGTAGAGACAACTTCCCATAAGCCTTCAGTAGCCTTTTCCTGCCTTCAGAATGAACAGAGCTAATTCCCACTCCCTATCCTACCACTAACACACATTTAAAATCCATATATGTAACATTCAATTTCATCTAGCTTGATGGTTGTTAGCAACTTAACTATATAACAGTCTTCTTCACTTCTCTCCCTGTGTTTTAAGGAAAATAGAAACTCTTAGGTGAAAACCAAATCATTATTGTTTATTCCCCATTAGATATTGTTATTCTGTCTTAGAGAATTGGTTGAATGGCTATGAATGTTATTTTGTCTTTTCCCCAAAATGTTTATTAAGCCTGGTTAATAAAGAAATAAAGATAAAACATGGGTGTTGAGAGAAGTGAAGAGATTCCTCCAAATCACAATTAAATACTTTGTATTATTTGGAAAACTTTTTAGAAAGACAAGTGAATACAGAACAGTCCTTGGGGCACCCTTTTCATAAAGGGAATACCATATTTAGATATTAGTTAATTTGGGGAATATACAGGCAGAGAGGGAAATATTTCCGAATGAAATACTTCTTTCATACTGCTTTGCTTCAACAAATTCTGAAAATTCTGAACAATGCATCATCTCCTATGTTGTCACTGTGCCAGAACCCCATTCTTGAGCTTCCTCCCTCTCCCGGTCTCCTGCACAGCAGCCAGACCTTAGCTGACTGGAGAAGCATCTCATGGCAAGGCAGTCTGCTCCTTGCATCCTTCTTATCATCTGCCTTATTTGTAGTTATGATAAGTTAAAAATAAAACAAAGTTACTCTCACCACATAACTATTGTGGTTATTGTATATATTTTTTCCTATTTTAATAAATTCCAAGAACATTATCAGTAAGCTTTTGGGAAGGTTTTTTAATCAATAATTTTTCTTATCCTTGCTTTAGAGAATTCTTGTAGAGACCGTCTGCCTGAGTAAAACCCAAAATGTGGAGTGTGTTTCTGCTGCTGGCTTAGTTGATGCTATCCCCAACAAATGCTGCTTGTTCTTACCAGTCAGATGTTGACAGGGCAGGATTTTTACAAGTTTTTGACAAGGATTTAGCTTTTTTTTTTTTTTTTCAAAATTCTCATTAATGAGGCCACTTTCTGCCTCCAAAAACAGTCATCATGGAAATCAGTTCCTCTGTGTATGACAGTTGATCCATCTCTGGCCTGAGATAATGACTGCAGGAGGCTTCCATTTTGAACTACTTGTAGCCTGAGATCTTCTCATGTATTTGACAGGTCTGGCCTCTCCTCAGCCAGCTTGAGATCCTCCCTGAAACATGCAGCCTTCCATTTTGCTCTCCTTTAATTCTTCTTCATTGCAGGACAAATAGATATTAGCAATGAAGCTTAAGTGCACATCAGACTCTTGCCTGTTTCCACCTTCTTTCTGTGAGACCTTGGAAAACTCAACCTGTTAAAAGTGGGTAGAACCTGCAAAGCTCCAGAAAGATATCCAACATTTCTGCCTTAGAGACAGAAATGTGTACCTGTTCATGCATAGATATAAAATATAGTAGAGTCTATAAAGAGAAACCCTTGGAGAAATCAGATTACTGGTGGGGATTTTAAGTGAGAGATTTCTCTGGTTCTCTTAGTATTTTCAGGGATCTTCATGTGTGATGTGTAACATACACATTGTGAGATGTGTGACAGACATTACTTAATTGCCGAGGAAATTGCTCAATGCATGCAACCACAGTGTTAGATACAGGCTTGATTCTGTGGGATGCAACTTGTCTTTTTTCGCACCCTTTCACAAGCACGCATTCAAGATTATACAAAATAGAATCAACTTTCCACAAAATGTAAAGATTCAAATAGCTAACAGTAATCAAATTTTTGCTGTGTGCCAGTCATTGTACTGTGTTTTTTTAAGTATTAAATTAGTCTTGGCTGGGTGCAGTGGCTCACACCTGTAATCTCAGCACTTTGGGATGCCAAGGTGGATAGATTGCTTGAGGCCAGGAGTTCCAGACCAGCGTGGCCAATATGGCAAAACCCTGTCTCTACTAAAAACACAAAAATTAGCCAGACATAGTGGTGGGCACTGGTAGTCCCAGCTACTTGGGAGGCTGAGGTGTGAGAATTGCTTGAACTCAGGAGGTAGAGGTTGCAGTGAATTGAGATCACGCCACTGCCCTCCAGCCTGGGCAACAGAGCAAGACTCGGTCTCAAAAAATAAAATAAAATTAGTCTTCACATCTGTGCAGTGAGGTAAATACCATTATTATCTCTAAGTTACAGAAGAATGAACCAAGTCACAGAGAGGGTACAAAATTTGCCCAAGGTAGAAGGGAGTGAGGTTTTGACCCCATACTGTCTGACTGCAGAGTCTTTAAGTCTTGGCTGACTTTAAGACTATACCGTGACCTCTCCTTGAATAATAAGAGGCTGAGAAAGGGGAAAGAGAGGCAAGAATTAAAAGTCCTATATCTGAAAATATCAGCCAATGAATTTATTTCATTTTAACATTTATTGATAACTATTTCAGTCATGTGTCTTACAATGGTCAAGGATGGACCACATATATAACAGTGGTCCCATATCCTTATAATACCATACTTTTATTGTACCTTCTCCATGTTTAGATACAAAAATACATATTATTGTGTTGCAACTGTCTACAGTATTCAGTACAGTAACATGCTGTACAGGTTTAGCAATAGGCCTATACCCCATATAGCCTAGGGATGTAATAGTCTGGTCATCTGTTTCTGTAAGCACACTCTATGATGTTTGCACAGTGATGCATTTCTCAGAACATATCCCTGTTGTTAAGTGACACGTAACTGTACTTTAACATAAGATTTTTCATAAGGATTTCTAATTATTTTTAGTAGTTACTTGAAACTAATATTCTAAAGTAGGTGAATATTGTTGTCTTCATGTTTCGTCAGCAGCAAACATATTGAGATATAACTAATTTGGAACCCAAAACAAGAGAATTGAGATTCAGTAGACTTCAGATTTATATTATTAAGTATGCTAAGAACTTCTGTATTTTAAATTCAATTTTGAGATAATTAACGAAAACAAATTAGACACTTAACAAGTTGGTATAATTCTATGCCTAGTGTTTTTCCCATAGCCACTGTTTTTTCCTATAATTGCCATAATAAGTGCTTTGTACTTCCTACCAGTTTATAGTAAATAGTCTTCTTTGACAGTGAATATATGCTCAAATTAAAGCAAGAAAATGCAACAGGAATTTATCTTCCTTGGGCTTGTATGAGGTTGGGAAGATATTTTCCTTTGTCCAAGTGGTATTTTGATTGACAGCAGATTCAGAGAATTCACTCAATAGTTTATTGCTGGGTCTAATTATTTTATCCACATCCACGTAAATATCATTTTAAGCTTGATATTCTAGGGGCCAAATCATGTGAATACAGAAGTTAAATGCATTGTTAAACTGAAATGCAAAGGTTGTAATAGGATGTGAATATATATTTATACTTTACTGGGTTAGGAGCTCACATGGGATCTGGGCTTTTCCAATTAATTGTTGACAAGGTGGCACATTCATGTCAACAGAGGGAAAAGTGGTGGGAAAAGACTTTTAAAGGAACATAAAGTTTCATGGAGAACAGGAATTCTCATTCCCTACAGTGATATTTGAGTGAATCAGAACACATGGAATTCATTTTCTCAAGCTTTTTAAGTCTGATTGCATCCAGCCCAGCTGCCACTCAACTTATAAAGATTCCATGGGGAGATCTTGGGCTTTGAAGATATCATGGCTTGAATCCTAGTTTCTCCACTTATTTAACTGTGGGCATGATATGTCACCTCGATGAGCTGCAATTACAGACCCCACTTCCAATTGTTGAAAAGATTAAGTTACCAAAAAAAAAAAAAAAAAAAAAAAAAGGTAAAGTGCCTAATATTCCAGGCATATAATTTGTTGGTGCAGAATACTTAGCAGAGTGTCTGGCATGCAGTAAATACCCAGTAGGGGTAGCTGCAATTATGAATAATGTTCAGGGGTTTGTTTCTTCTGCCTGCTACCACCTTTGACCCTTTTCATTGCTTACTAGTTTCTCAACCACTGAACAAAAACAAGGAACGGGGTGAAGAGCAGTTAACCCTTTGAGCAGGATTAAATGGCAAAATAAATTACTGAAATTAAGTTGGAGATTATATACGGATTTTCTGGTTTTTGCCTTTCTGCTGTCAGCATAAATAATTCGGAGTTGAATGTATTATCATAAATGGCAATATCGTCATCTTCATCATGGACCTGATTACAGGGACCAAATTGTATACTATCAAAAAATGACAACCTTTTCAGGACACTAGTACATACCCTCATTATAACAGAAACAAAAACTACCCCTGAAAAGTCCCCAGGGTTATTGATCTCGCATGTGAGTCAGATTTTTCCCAGAATGTATTGCAACCTGATTACAATCCAAATTCATATCTTCACTAATTATAACTAAGAATCTTTGAAATTTTTGCACAATGTAATGGCTTATTCTTTTCCTGTCATCTCTCATATTTCCCTATTGCCATTTGAAAAGTTTGGCCCGTTGAATTCATTGTCTTCCTTATATTTCAAGTTTAGCAGTTGTTTTTAACTCTGGAGATAATTGTTAGACTTTTCTTACTTAGGAAACATCCTTGCTAGAGGAGGAACCTGGTGAGACAGACTGAAGCACAAATTCTGACTCTGCCTCTGTTTTTTTTTTTAAATCCTTGGCTTATCTCCTGCATCAATGCTGTGGGCTTATGTAAGAGTACCACCATGTGGCCTGACAGTAGTAGGTTGCCAGAAAATAAGTGTTCCTTCTCCTTTTTACCTCCACCCCCTTAGTAAATTTAAACACCTGTTTATTGGTAGTAATGCTGTGCCTTTCTTGTGTTTCAAGGATGTGCTTTTGGGAGAAGAAAATGGCTTTGGTCTTGTCAAGGATCCATGTTATTTGGCTGGCCCTGGATCTAGGTATGTATGTGTACTTATGATGCCCTCTGGGTATGAATGCTGCTGGTGTAAAACTACCCTTGTTCCTTTCTACAAGAAATCAGAATGTGATGTCTTAAGTGTCACCTGCTTTTTTGATTTGTCTAGGCCATGGAGAACTTTTTACTTTCCATTTGTAAATGATTTTCTTTAAGAATGACACTTGTTCAAAATAGGTTTTGAACATGTGATGTTGAGGACAAGGTTGACTTCTAGCCAGTTTGACAACAGAATAATTAATGGAGGCACTTTTCTCAGGCATGTCCCATGGTGCTCACAAACAGGGCCTCCTGTTTGGGCTGATCTCTTCCAGCTCTGTGTGCAAAGCATCACATCTGGTGACTACAGTGCTAGGGAAGAATGGGCATTTCATGAACAGCTTCACAGAGGAAGACAAACTGGAAGCATTGGAAGTGAAAAATAAAGCTCAAAATCATAATTTTATACACATGGGGATAGAAAGCAGAGGAGAGTCTTTTTTTTTTTTAATGCCATCAAAATCATATATCCTAGATAGAAAATACAATGGAAACTTTTTTTAAAATTTAAAAATGTCGAACTATTCACATGGGACTGAATAAGTAGAAATTTCCAAAAAGGGTTTTCTCTTAACCATGTACCCTGTATGTAGTTTTAATACAGCATTACAGAGTTGTCTACTATAATCTATTATTACTAATGATAAACCTACACCCTACCTACTCCTTTCCATGTTTTTAAGCCATTTCCTTATTTTTTCTTATATTTTATTCAATTAATGTTTCTACATTCATCTTCTTACTTAACTCAACCTAATACTGTCAAGTAGAAGCAGCCAACATGTTCAGAAAGTAGGTATTAATGACCTGCTTTTCAGCCAACATCAACCTTCCTTGTTTATATGCTCTTGCTCCTGTAGCTGTGTTGACAAGGAATAAAGTATTCAAGCTGAGGCTGTTTGGGACTTCGGTTAGTTTGGGTGTATTAATTAAAAGCTAGAAAAAAGGGAAAACTGTTAATAAACTAGAGCACTGCTAAAGAAAATTGGTTTGAAATCAAAGGTGGGACTAAACAACAGAAAATAAAATAACCCTATATAAAAATGTGCAAAGGTAAAGGAGAACAAGATCTGTCTTTTGCAACAAGATGGATGGAGCTGAAGGCCAGTATCCTAAGCAAATGAACACAGGATCAAAAAGCCAAATACTGCATGCTCTCATGTACAAGTGGGAGCTAAGCACTGAGTACACATGGACACAAAGAAGGGAACAACAGACACTGGCGCCTCTTTGAGGGCAGAGGGTAGGAGGATGGTGAGGACTGAAAAACTACCTATCGGGTACTATGCCTATTTGGGTGACAAAATTATCTGTACACGAAACTCTGGCAACGTGGAATTTACTCATGTAACAAACCTGCACATGTACTCCTTGAACCTAAAATTAAAGTTGGAAAGTAAGAAAATAATTGAAGGTGACAGGTGAAGGAAGGGGGAGGAGCCTGGTTGGCTCAGTGGCAATATTGACAATCTGAGAAACACAGGTAGCAGTTTTATCGGGGAAAAAAACCTTCCTCAACAAAATTAGTTCTGTGTTAAAAGGAAAAAAAAAGCTTTATGAGCTGTAAAAATGCCAAAAGAATAAATATGACAAGCATCACATACCGCTGAATAACTGAAATGCTTGTCCTGTTCTTTGGCAGTTGACATTAGCATAGGTGCAGCTACATGCATAGTGCTTGCTAAAAAAGATATTGATAATTTCAGGACATGTAATTCTTAGCTGTCCTGGGGAAAAGCATAGGCATGGAAAGTGTCTACAGAAGCAGCCAACAGGAAAACGTGGGTGGGGCTTGATCATAGATGGTGCTATGAATTTTGAATACTAAAAATTCTGCTTGCAGTTTGTTTTTCTAACCATTACAACCAAGAAGACACAAAGTGTAACACTCTTTTTTTTTTCCTAAAGGTTTGTGTGGTCTTTTACCATAGTTACTCTGTTAATCATAGTTGGGCCGGGCACGGTGGCTCAAGCCTGTAATCCCAGCACTTTGGGAGGCCGAGGCGGGTGGATCACGCGGTCCAGAGATCAAGACCATCCTGGTCAACATGGTGAAACCCCGTCTCTACTAAAAATACAAAAAATTCACTGGGCACAGTGGCGCGTGCCTGTAATCCCAGCTACTCAGGAGGCTGAGGCAGGAGAATTGCCTGAACCCAGGAGGCGGAGGTTGCGGTGAGCCGAGATTGCACCATTGCACTCCAGCCTAGGTAACAAGAGCGAAACTCCGTCTCAAAAAAAAAAAAAAAAAAAAAAAAAAAAAAAAATCATAGTCAGAAGATAAGAGTCACATCAATTGTGGACAATTGTGAAATATCAGAACAATTTGGAAGGTAGAATTTGGAGGAATGTGCCCTTTCTTCTCCATGGATGCTTATTAGGATCAGTCAGTTTTCCTCTACTCTGACATAATTCTCCCTAAATACGTGAAATTCAGACTTTACATTAATGCTATTTAAAAAACATTAAAAGTTCTAATTTATAGAAAAATAGAGATTTTGCACTGTTCAAGTATTATAAAAGTTTGATGCCTTCATGGGTCACAAAAAGACAATAGTTATCATTATTATATCTTTTTTTCTGTTTTCAAACTATTTTTCATTCTTTTTATCTTCAGTGTGAAAGAAACAAACACTAGAGGACACAAATCCAACTGAATTGAGACATTCACTTGTTAATTTCAAAAATAAAAATGTACTTGTCTATGTAAAAAAGGGCAAAGGACTTGAATAGACATTTCTCCAAAGATGGTAGACACATGACCAACAAGCATGTGAAAAGATGCTCAACACCAGTAATCATTAGAGAACTCAAAACCACAATGAGATGTCACCTCACACACATTAGGATGGCTACTATTAAGAAAAACAACAAATGTCAGTGAGGATATGGGGAAATTGGAAATCTTGCACACTGTTAGTGGGAATGTAAAATGGTGCAGCCATATGAAAAACAGCATGGAGGTCTTAGAACACTAAAAATAGAGCTACTATATGATCTGGCAATGCCACTTCTGAGTAGATGTCCAAAAGAATTGAAAGCAGGGTCTCCAAGAGATACATTGTACATCCATGTTCATAGCAGCAGTATTTATGTTCACAGTAGCCAAGAGGTGGAAACAACCCAAATGTCTATTAATGACAGATGAATGGATAAACAAAATGTGGTGTAGACATACAAGGGAATATTACTCAGCCTTAAAAAGGAAATTCTGCCACATGCTACCACATATTATGCGAAGTGAAATAAGCCAGTCACAAAAAGACATACTGTATAATTTCACTTGTATGAAGTACCTAAAGTAGTCAAATTCATAGAAACACAGAGTAAAACGGTGATTTCCAGGGGTTAGAAGGAGAGGAAATGGGGAGTTATTAATTAGTGGGTACATAGTTTTAGGTTTGCAACTTGTGAAAGTTCTGGAGATCTGTTTCACAACAGTGTGAACGTATTAACACTGCTGACCTTAAAAATGGTTAAGATGAAATTTTATGTTTTTTTTAACCACAATTTTTAAAAAGTGCTGTTTTTTTAAAAACAAAACAAAAAAGGGTGAGACTAATTGCTCTCAAAATCCATACTTGAATAGTAGGATTCCTGAATACATATCAGCAGACTCTGGGTGAGCCTCTCACACCCTATTATAGAAGGGACTTGAACAAAATCTTTTTTTATCCAAAACTTCATTCCTGAAAAACAGAGAATAATCACTGTGGAGAAGCATTCTCAACCAAGCTAAGTATTTACCACTGATATTATCTTCAAAAAGAAAGAGCCGGCCAGGCTTGGTGGCTCACGCCTACATCCCAGCACTTTGGGAGGCTGAGGCGGATGGATCGCAAGGTCAGGAGTTCAAGACCAGCCTGGCCAACATGGTGAAACCCCATCTCTACTAAAAATACAAAAACCAACTGGGCTTGGTAGTGGGCTCCTGTAATCTCAGCTGTACATGGGAGGCTGAGGCAGGAGAATTGCTTGAACCTGGGAGGCGGAAGTTGCAGTGAGCTGAGCCGAGACCACACCATTGCATTCTAGCCTGGGTGATAGAGTGAGACTCTGTCTTAAGAAAAAAAAAGTCACTTTAGCTTGTGTAAACTAAGGTCACACAAACTGAAAACATATAAAAGTTTATTGGGCTGGATCTTTAAAGGATAAGTGTATATTATTGTATGTTTTAGTAATGTCTCTCCCTTTAAAAAGCCTCAAGATGTAATAAAATAAAGGCATCTGAATTAGTCACTAAAACATCAGATTTCAGCAAACTCCACGTCCTCTTAGAGGATGCTGAGTTTAAAAAGTTTGTTTGCTACAATCTGGAGAGCAGTCAGGCAGAGGAGATACCACTATTCAACAGATACTTGCTGAGGGGGTGCTTGGTGCCAGGTATGGGGATGCCAGGATGGATGAGACACAAGTGAAGAGTATTCCCAGAGAGTCTCCTTCCTCAGGGTTTCTGATATGCCCACTGGGGAAGCCACTAGGAACTGCAGAGTGGCCACACTTCACTATGGAGAGGTTTCTGCTAAAGAAGCCATGTCTGAGTGAAAAGGACCGGTCACGGGAAAGGAGGGGTTGCATCTGAGAGAGAGGTGGGCCCTTTATTCTATCATCTGCATCTGTGTATAATAAAGAAAAAATAAAGGCATGAGAAGAGCTAATTTGGTACTTTGCCATCTTTTCCCCCCACATGCTACATTCTGCTTGCCTGGCACTTAGATGATCTTGTGGCAAGCCCTGTATTATTGCTCTGATGTGGGACTGAGTCACCGCTCCCTCAGAGGAGTCAGATCTGTGAGATGAAATGTGCCATCTGTGCTCCAGATTCACTCACATAGCCAGTCGGAACTGCAGACAGGGAATTTACAAATCACGGTGGGTTTGCTGCAGATCCTTTTATCCTCACATTAACTCTTGCACAGCAGGCAGTGCCACAGACTCTTTTTTGTTTTGTTTTGAGGGTTTTTCTCCCTTTGAACACAGTATAATGAAGTTTTGCGAATTGTTGGGTTTTTCCTTGGAGCCTAGAGTATAGTTGTTTAAATCAGCATGTACCATATTTTCTTATTATTGTCAGCCTCTTTCTCCAGAGGTAACTGCTTATTAGCTCCTTAGGTGAGACTGTCCCCTCCTTTTTATTTTTCATCACATGAAATGAAAACACCAGGAGAGTAAGCAAAAGTTGTAAATAAAACCTTCAAATTCAGCAGCCCATGCAAATGCTTTAAAACACACCTCCCCCATGGGGATCACACTGGGAGAGAAGAAGGCAGTGTTATTTCTCCCCAGAGCTGGGAGATATTTCCTGAAGTAGTCCTAAATGGGGCTGAAGAAATGTACCACTTGTTTGTTTTCATATCCTCAAAAGCTGCCTTACGTTGCATGGTGTGTACAGGATGTGTGGGCGGTGAGAAGGTTAATAAAAGAAAATGCCTTGTGAACCCAGGCATTCCATGTGACATTTTCCTGAAGGAATGTATGCCTGTCTAGTATTTGTTTAATTTGGGTCTTCCTATGAGCAGCCAGGGAAGACAGTGTGCAGCTTCCAGGGAGAAGGAAGGAGGTCCTCCTTCCTCTTAAATGCTTTTCTCATCTATGTAAGGTGCCTTGGGCTGCATGTTTGCCCCTTTCTTCAGAGCTGTAACCCTCTTGTCTGTGTGCCGTTCCAGGCCACTCTGTTCAGAAAGAGGCCAAGAAGAGACGCCATTGCTCTCCCACCATCCCACCCCTCGTTGGGGTGGTTCAGGCTGCAAAAACATCGGTGATTCCTCCGTTCCTAGTGAATGTCCTGGAACCCCAGACCATCAGAGGCAAGCCAGCAGGACACCCTGCCCCAGGCCACCACTGGCAGGAACGCAAGGGCAGCTCACAGACACCAGGGCTACACCCCTGACCCCACTTGGTACCCCTCTGCCTTCAGCCATTCCCTCTGGCTACTGCTCACAGGATAGTCAGACAGGGCGACAGTCTCTCCCACCCTACACCCCTGCCGTGACCCACAGAAGCAATGGTCACACCCTGACCCAGCCTCCCGGTCCAAGAGGCCGTGAGGGCGACGGCCCAGAGCATGGCGTAGAAGAGGGAATGAGGAAGAGGGTCTCGTTGCCTCAGCGGCCGACTCCGTCTCAAGGGAAGTGGGTCCACTCAGCCAGAGAGGACAGCCTTCCTGAGGAATCCTCAGCTCCTGAGTTTGCAGACCTCAAGCACTATCAAAAACAGCAGAGTCTTCCAAGTTCATGCAGCACTTCCGACCCAGACACGCCTGTTGGGGCCCCAAGCACTCCAGGGAGGATCTCCCTCCGAATATCTGAGTCCATCCTGTGGGATTCCCCATCACCTCATGAGGATTGTGACGACGAAGTGTTTATGAGGGATCTGCACCCCAAGGCCACATCCAGCCCCACATTTGAAACTCTTCCCCCACCCCCACCTCCTCCACTGAGTCAGGAAACCCCGGTATATAGCATGGATGACTTCCCTCCACCTCCTCCCCACGCTGCGTGTGAGGCGCAGCTGGACAGTGAGGACCCCGAAGGGCCACGCCCCAGGTGAGTGAGCAGTCTGGGTTGGTTTTCCTCATAGGAGAGTGTCATGCCCCAGGTGGCCCAGGTCCTGCTGGCCACAGAAGAGCCCTGGCATGGAGATGTTTCTATTCAGCTCAGCTCAGGACACTGTTCATCTCTTTGCCTCGGGAGGTAGTTTGACCAGTGTCATTGGATATGGAGGAGCCAAGGTGGCAGAAATGAAAGTTGGAACCCAAGGGGTACATTTCACTTCTGGGGACAGGATAGTCTCAAGGGGTTCAATCCCTCCTCCCTGGCTGAGTTCTGAATCAGTTAGGAAATCAGACAAAAGAGGAGTGCATATAGACGACAAAAACATCACTTTTATTAGTGACAGAGCTAGCATTAAAAAGTATGGCTTCGGATTGTAAGTAGGTCTCCTAATAATGAACCCCCACGTTAAACAGGTTTACCTGCCTCATCAAAGGTCATGCTAGACACACAAACATATATACATATTAATGGATACAGCGCTGAGGCAGCCTCACTCTCGAAAGAGACTGGGATAGGAAGGAATAAAGAGTAGGGCTCGAAGTCAGTAATGTTTGGGGAAACCTCTTCTTGGAAGCTAGGAGAATGAGAAAGAAGCATTCCCCAACACATAGTCCCTAGAACAAATGATCTCTCAAAACGCCAAAAAAACACACTGCCTGATAGCACCTTTGGAGTGGCCTTTAAACACCACAAGAGTGACTTGGTACTACCACCCCCTGTTCACCTAGAGCTTTCCGAAATCTCTGGACTCTAACAGCCACATTGACCAGAACTGAATTCCTATTGAATCCATCTTCCTCAAGAAATGACAACCTCCTGACTAGCTGCTGGGCTCAGGAAAAGGCCTTTTATTTTAGAGTGCTGTGGCTTTCCAGAGAAGGGGTTGAACTCAGAAATGCGACCATCTCATCCCACTCCTATGTATATACCTATGTGTGTTTGTGTGTCTAGCATGACCTCTGCCTAGGCAGGTAAACATTTTTAATGTGGGGGTTCAGTATCAAGAGACCCACTTACAATCAGGAGCCATATTCTTTAATATTAGCTCTGTCACTCAGATGTGGAAGATGTGGAAAACTACAGCCCTGACATAGAAAGCTTCTCCCTCAGTATTCTTCCACCCTCTTATCATCACCCTTCTCTTATCTCTTTCTCTTTTTTTTTTAATATCCCTGGCAGCTCCAACAAACTTTCTAAGGTGACAATTGCAAGGGAAAGGCATGTGCCTGGTGCAACCCATGTGGTAGGTAGTCAGACACTGGCTTCCAGACTCCAAACTTCTATCAAGGGTTCAGAGGCTGAATCCAAACCACCTTCCAGCATGAGTGTGCAGCCGCAACTTGCTGGGTCTCTTGGTGGGCAGCCAGCACCCACCCAGACTCAAAGCCTCACCCATGATCAAGTCAATGGAGCTCAGGGTTTAGAAAAGAAAGTCAGTTCTGATCCTCAGAAGAGCTCAGAAGACATTAGAACAGAGGCTCTGGCCAAGGAAATTGTCCACCAAGACAAATCTCTGGCAGACATTCTGGATCCAGACTCCAGGCTGAAGACAACGATGGACCTGATGGAAGGTTTGTTTCCCCGAGATGTGAACTTGCTGAAGGAACACAGTGTAAAGAGGAAGGCCATGCAGAGAACTGTCAGCTGCTCAGGATGTGGAGGCAAAAGGTAAGTCCCCGGTGGTATCCTCAGACTTACAATGAAATTCCTTCTGTGATGATGATAAGTCTAGGCCTAGTTGCCTGATGTTTTCCTACTTCCACAGCTCCTGACCCAAGAGCGACATTGCATCTCAGTCTTGGGGAACGGTTCTGGGGAGTAAGGATGTGGGACAGATATGCAACAACAAAGTAATAGTAACAATGATAATAATGGCCGTTAATACCCATTGTGTACATTCTATGTGTCAAGCACTGTATTAAATTTTTTATATCAGTATTATCTCATTTAATTTTCACAAGAACTTTGAGGTAGCTACCAATTTTATATCCATTTACAAATGAGGAAACTGAAGTAGAGAGGAATTAAGACCAAGGTCATTGAACATATGAGTGACGGTACCTGGATTTGATCACAACCCCATGACTGCCTGTTTCCAGCAATTACACAGTGCCACCAGCACAGCAAAGATGTACTTGCCCATTCTGTATCAGAGTTGCTCTGGCAGAGAGGCCCCCAGAGCTCGGTGCTGTGAAAGGAACAAGTAGGAGTGGTGAGTGTGACCAACACCTCACCAAGACTGAGGGGCCTAGTAAGGAGGAGAGCCTAGAGAAATAGATTCATTTACTACACTGACCCTTACCTTTGAGGCATTAAGGTGGGTGTTGGTACAAATCCTGAAAATCAGGAAAGGTCTGAATAGAGGCCCACTCTGGTTTTGCCCAGTCCATGAGCCTCTGCTTCTGAAGCTCCTTGAGGCCAGGCATGTAACTCGTGTCCCAGTGAGCAGTCTGTTTTTGATGCTTTTCATTTTTCCTGGGTTACTGCAATATTTTCTTGCATGTTTTATTTCCTTAAAGGCCTATCATCATAGGCCTTTGACAGTTTGAGTGGTTTTCATTTTCTCTTTAATTTTCGATGAAATCTTTGTGGATTGACAATCTGGGACTCAGCAGTTAGTGGCCTCCAGACTAAATAAAAACAGAACATTTTATCCAAATTTGGGCTTGCATTTTAAAAATTTCCCACTGATCCTAACTAAAATACTAACGGGACCACCGCATTTCATTTTGCAGGTGGAGAGAGAAAGGAAAGAGCTATGTGATACTTACAAGGTATTTGTCTTGTTGTCAGAGGCTCTTCCGTCACCTTGTCCATCTCCCTCCACTTTTTTTCAGATTTGGGAAACAGACTAATTGAGGTCAAGTGACTTATCCAGGGTCAGGTCTTTAGCAAACACTTAATGAGCACCTGCAGCGTGCAAGACAATCCACTAGGTAGTGGGGGACCCTAAAGATGAGATTTTTGTGGGTATGCCAGTCAGTTCACCGTGAGTGGTTGCAGTATGCTCATTCTGTTCTCTGACCACGGGCTGGCTGTAGAAGGACCCAAGTAAAATCCTTAGAAAAGTATTTCCTAGCATGACCACTGAAAATACCTGTTGGATCCATCAGTTTAGAAGCGGAATGGTCATGTAGTTTCTGGCAGCACTGAGACCTTCCTGGGGATTAAAAAAAAAAAAAAAAAAAAAAAGTCACACGCCATCTCCTGGTGGAAATAAGCATTGTCCTGTTGGGCATAAGACGGCCAGTGGCCCTTGTGAGGGTTGGTCAGATGCCGGAGAAGCTCATTTGTAATGCAGCAGACATATCTGAAAACAAAAACAAAAATGTATCAGAAAATCTTTTCCCTGTCTTTCAATTAACTGGCTTAAATGTGATAATTGTTGCTTTTTGGGACAGTTATCAAGTAGGAAACTAGTAAAGATGGTTTTTGTGTGTGTGTCTGTTATTCCATAGTAAAATGATGGGCTAGATGTTAAATAATATCACAAGATTGAATAAAGTTCCGAATCTTACTTCCATAGTCATTTATTCAGTGGGTAGGATATGAACTGTCGGCTGAAAGGCAACTCAAATGTGGTAAAACAGAACAGTAGACATCAGGTTTCTCAATTCTGCGTTTTTTCTTCAGCCTTGAAACACCCCTATTATATTATCAATGAGTAGATTTTATAGCTTGTATTAGTTCACTGTGGACCAGCAAGCTGCAGATTTCCTGGCTTATGTGGGGCAGCAGGCGTACTTGAGAAGGAAAATTTTTGTGTATTCAAGCAACAGTACATAGTAGGCACCGGAAAGATTACACGTAACCAAGGGCATATAGGAAGGAATTGACCTAAAACCTGAGGTTTGTGCAGCACCTTGAAAATACTTTCACATTGACTGAGTTATGGTTCCACACTGCCTTTCTCTGAAATAAGGAGTCAGTATCATTCTTATATGAATCACAAAAGCAGAGAGGTTAAATGTCTTCTCCATAGTCAGCTGCGAGGCCACAGTCTTGGCCCCACTGTCATCCCTAATACTGCCTTTGGTGGTTTTCCATCCCAAGTTTGCCTGGCTTCAACAGCCCCGTACGTAGTAATCACTCATTAGTTAACAGTTACTAGTTCATCCTAATTTCTGGGAAAGAAATTAAATAGAATTATTAGGCATTTCTGAATGGACTGACGTCTGCAGTGAAGCGAGCCTCTGGCATGCTCCGTGTGACTGTACTTTGTGTTCTTGATGGTCCAGGAATGAAGACAAGGAAGCAGTGGGCATGCTGGTCAACTGCCCTGCCTACTACAGTGTGTCTGCTCCCAAGGCTGAGCTGCTGAACAAAATCAAAGAGATGCCATCAGAAGTGAATGAGGAAGAGGAACAGGTGGATGTCAATGAAAAGAAGGTAAAGAATGAGATGCTTTTGTTCTGATTTCCCCAGAAAAATCGACAAGGTCCATGTAATCAGCGTAGTGACTGGGCCTCTTGAGGCAGGCAGGGGAAAGACCTGTCACATGACCACACTGCACCAAAAACCATTAGACTTTGGATTTACATGGCACTTTAACCTCTCAGCTCTTCTGTGAGTAGGCAGGGCAGGTAAGCTACTGTCCTTTTCATTTTTACAAATAAAAAAGGTGAAGCTTAAGGGGATTATTTCTTAGATGTCTCATAGCCAGGACTTGAACCTAAGTCCCTAGACTCCTAATCCAGTACCAGGACCCTGACACTGTTCTCACCTGCTGGTTGGCCAGTGCCAGCAGTGTGTGTAATTTTCATGTTTCATTGTCCAAAGGGAAATTTAAAAATCTAGAAACTTTTTTTAGGAAGGAGGCCAATTGTCAAATGACACTTCTTAGAAAAGGAAATATTAACCTTTATATCTTCCCCAGCACTCTTTGCAGGACGTCGGTGAATAGTTTGAAAGTGCAGTGCGGGAATCTAGTTGTTAGCATTTGATACTCCTACAGAGATTTCAAATGTTAGCCACTTGAAAAATGACCATGATGCTGCTGCTGTCTTCCCACTTGCCATGGAGATCTAAACTGGGCTGTGTCTGCAGGGGAGAAAGTTCTCACCATTCCACTTTCTCTGTAGCACCAGCGGGGCTGCCTTCTGCTGTGCTTCCAGCTCTCTGTGCAGCTCAGGCATGTGTGCCACAGAGGAAAGCTTACTTGCTTCTTGCTGAGCCTGGAATGTAAGTGGTTTTCAGTGGTCCTGATTCCAGGGGAAACTTTCTAAGGTGATTTTATTTCATATGTTCTACAGTGTGCCCCAAGCTGTCTTGTCTGTTGGAATGAGACCACAGGATGTAGACCCTAGGAGCAGAGGGTAATAGAACAGGAGGGATCTTTGCAGCACCTCTGACTCATGGCTGACATGCTGATGCAACCATTGTAGCAAGCTCCCTGCTAGCCCAAGGTTTTCCTGTTTACATACCTGTCATTGTATACCCCGGTATATCCCTACCACAGCACTGCTGAACACTTCATTTAACGTGTCCTTTGATCACAAATAAGACCACTTTACTTTTGGTTTGCCTATATTTATTCCAAAGAGAGAGCTATATATACACCCTTACATGTACCAGGTTGCCATGGCATCTTTAACTGAACCTTTTACACAATTTTTTGTTATTTTGTTTTCTGCCTGTGGGCATACCGGCTTTACAGTTGCTGTGTGGCAAGTACTCATTGCTTTTCCTCCCTATCTTAATTTTTAAGTGTTTTTTTCCTAACTTTTATTTTAGAATCAAGAGGTACATAGGCAGATTTGTGAAAGGTATAGTGCATGATCCTCAGGCTTGGTGTCTGATTGTATGTGTCACCCAGGTAGTGAGCCTAGTACTCAATAGGTACTTTTTAACCCTTGTCCCCTTCCCTTCCTCCCTCATCTTTTATTCTGCAGTGTCTATTGTGTCCATATTTATGTCCATGTGTACCCAATTAACTGTTTTCCCATCACTTTCAATTATCACCCTCTCACGCTAAGCATTATGTGGCAAAAAGTATTTTTAGACTGAGAATATAAATAGAGAATTAATTCATCCTCATGGGAAATAACATTAGGTACCATGTATTTCATTCCAAGTTTGGGCTGTGTGTTCGGTTTTCTTTTCAATACAATGCTGTACTATCATCTTTATTTGCACAAAACTCCGCTGACACTTGTACTGCCACATTTTATGCTAAAGTAATCAGAATTAGAGAACTTAAGGGCTGGGATCACACAGTTAATAGATGCTGAAGTCAGAATTTTAACCTTATGTTTTTCTGACCCCAAAGCCTGCTAAAAATTGCTGCCAAGTCAGCTGCCTTTAAACCTTGCTGCTCTGGGAACTGAGCTAAACTGGGTATAACTAATCAGTGTTAACTAACCAGAGCTAGAGTTTGAGATTAAAGACAGTTCAAACTCATTTCATTTATTTATTTAGAGACCGAGTCTTGCTCTGTTGCCAGGCTGGAGTGCAGTGGCACGATCTCGGCTCACTGCAACCTCCAACTCCCAGTTTCAAGCGATTCTTTTGCCTTAGCCTCCCTAATAGTTGGGACTGTAAGTGCCACCATGCCCAACTAATTTTTTGTATTTTTAGTAGAGATGGGGTTGCGCAGTGTTAGCCAGGGTGGTTGCGGTCTCCTGACCTCGTGATCCACCTGCCTTAGCTTCCCAAAGTGCTAGGATTACAGGCCTGAGCCACCACACCCATTTTAAACCAAAAATATGAGAACAGCAGTGTCCATGATTTGAGGACTGAGGAGTCTCGAGTCATTTGGAGTGCCTTTTTGGGGAGTCATGGCTTCAGAAGACAAAACGCCACTCAGGGTGAAAGGGACCTAGGGAAAAGAAGTGTCACAGCCATATAACCAGGGCCTGGCACTGAGCACATGCTCAATAAACATTTGTTTCATGAAGTTATAAAGTATAAAACTCCCAAGTTGGATTTCACCATTTAACTGAAGAAAAATACCAAGAAATCCGCTGTGGGGACTAGAGTTTATGGTCTCGCTGTCCTGAACACATCTGATCTCAGAAGCTGAGCATGGTCAGGCCTGGTTAGCACTTGGTTGGGAGAACATGGGATTCAAATTCGGAATTTAAAAAATTGGGGTTTGAATGAAGTGAAGCAACTAGCTTGACCCTTCTTGATCCTTTTTTCTTTATAAAATGAAAGTGGTAATGATTTCTCACATAATAGCTGTGGGGTCAAATTAACTGATGTATATTAATGTGCTTTTTAAGCTTCAGGGTGTAAGAGCATATTATATCTTAATAGAGAAGTGTTTACGGCAATGTCATGTAAGTATGCAAACATTGGTGGCATCTCGTATCTTCCATGTTAAGATGTTCAGTGAGAAAGTGCCTTATTACCAACAATGCTAGGCAACTCTGTTTTCGTAAATCAGACTCTTAGGAGGAGAAGCAACTCACACTTGTTTTCTCTCTTCACTGTGGAAAATGTTGCCTACATCACCGGGGGATACCCATTTGCTCTGTAGGTTTATCTGGCTCTTCAGGGAGGAAAAGAGGAGAAAAGGCTATTTAGTCAATGAGGCCCTCCACGTCCAGTTAGAATTTCCTTTGGTTCCTTCTTCTTTAATTCCTTTCTTCTAGGGCTGCAAGTGGCCTGGGGGTTGCATCACTTTGTAAGTACAAGATGTTGGGCTCATAAACACTTAGTGAGAAGACGCCTTCTCTGTTTCAGACACTGTCATACAAACATGAGTATGACACTGTGTCTGCTCTCCTGGAACTTTGGACTGGCGAGGGAGGTGGATGATTTTAGTACTACATTACTGATCGTCTGACAGACACATGGACTGTGCTTAGGGAGCCCAGAGAAGCAATTTCTAACCCAAGAGGGTAGAGTCAGATTATACCTCCTCCAGGAGGTTAAAACCTGAGATGGGTATTGAAGAATGTATCGGCAGGAGTCAGGAGAAAAAGGGCATTTGAGACAAAAGGGAAAGCATAGGGAAAAACCTAGAGATACGAAAAAGCATAGAGTATGTGTGTGGTAAAGAAGGATGCTTCAAGTAGTCGGATATTTTGGAATGTAACGAAGGCTGATGATTAAATAAAAAATCACCAAACTTAGGCCAGGCACAGTGATTCACGCCTGTAATCCCAGCACTCTGGGAGGATCTCTTGAGCTTCGGAGTTCAAGACCAGCCTGAGCAACATAGTGAAACGCTGTCTCTACCAAAAACATAAAAAATTAGCCCAGTGTGGTGGCACATGCCTGTAATCCCAGCTACTTAGGAGGCTGAGGTGGGAGAATTGCTTGAACCTAAGAGGCAGAGGTTGCAGCAAGCCAAGATCTTGCCACTGCACTCTAGCCTGGGTGACAGAGTGAGACTCCATCTCAAAAAAAATTTTTTTTTTTTAAATTAGCTGACCATGGTGGCATACATCTGTGGTCTCAGCTACTTTGGAGGCTGAGTTGGGAGGATTGCTTGAGCCCAAGAGGCATAGGCTGCAGTGAACCAAGATCACACCACTCCAATCCAGCCTGGGTGACAGAGTGAGACCCTGTCTCAAAAGAAACAACAAAAAAATTACCAAATGTAGAAAATAACAAAGGAAAGCCACAAACGGTGGGAGATGAGGCTAGAAGGGTTCACAAGAGCCAGTAGGTCATAAGAACACATAGGGCTTTGTAATGCTGAAGTTCGGATTTTATCATATGACAGTGGAGAACTCTTTTGAGATTTTAGTTTTTTTAATGAACTACAAGTTTATAAATGTATAATAGAATTTTCATTAGTATCACATTTACATATCTGATTTGGAAACACAAAGTTTTAAGTAAATGATGTTGTTGAAAGCATCTGTTAATATATTCAGCAAAATGCAGTTTTCTTCCTGAAATACAACAGGCTTTTCTAATGATAGTTTTAAAAAAATGATACGTGCTCAATATCCATTCTCCAGTATTCTTTTGAGTTAGAATGTAGCCAGTGACCCACTTTTGCAAAGTAATAATTTGCTACTAATATTTAAAGTTACTAATAAACTAAGATATGTATCTAGGCTAGAAACTAGAGGCTTGGCTTACTAATAACGATTATAAATTAAAATAACACTTTACTTTTACTTTGACATTTCTGTTTACATATCCTAGATGATAAATAATAATATTCCAAGTAAATGTTTAAGTATCACTTAAAATATGAAACTTTCATTGTCTGAACTTCTGATATACATAAGACAAAACAGTGTAAATAATCAGAGCTGTCATTTTTTGGCTAAACCTTCATATTATTATTATTTATATATATTTTTTATTGCACTTTAGGTTCTGGAATACATGTGCATAATATGCAGGATTGTTGCATAGGTACATACGTGGCAATGTGGTTTGCTGCCTCCATCCCCCCATCATCTATATCTGGCATTTCTCCCCAT